AAAAAAAAAAAAAAAAAAAAAAATGACCTTAGAAGATATGACCCAAAGTCAGACAGAGCCTCACATGCACACAATCCAATTAGATGCTACGTGAATATCTCTGCAAGTTACAGTTCTAGTACATGTAACAATAATGATAACAACAATGACAATCATAGCAAACTCTTCCACTGGACTTGCTCCTGATGAGGCACTTTTTTTTTTTTTTTTTTTTTAAAGACAGAGTCTTGCTCTGTCACCAGCCTGGAGTGCAGTGGCACCACCTTGACTCACTGCGATCTCTGCCTCCTGAGTTCAAGTGATTCTCCTGCCTCAGCCTCCTGAGTATCTGGAACTACAGGAATGTGCCACCAAGCCCGGCTAATTTTTGTATTTTTATTTTTATTATTCTTATTTATTTGTTTGTTTGTTTTTATTTTAATTATTTTTGAGATGGAGTCTCACTCTGTCACCTAGATCTAGAATGCAGTGGCATGATCTCAGCTGCAACCTCTTCCTGCCAGGTTCAAGTGATTCTCTTGCCTCAGTCTCCCAAGTAACTGGGACTATAGGCACCCGCTACCACACCTAGCTAATTTTTGTATTTTTAGTAAAGACAGGGTTTCACCATGTTGACCAGCCTGGTCTTGAACTCCTGACCTCAAGTGATCCACCTGTAGGGTCCAGCCCTACAGGGCTTAGCGGGTGTTCTCCCCGTGTGTGGAGATGAGAGATTGTAATAAATAAAGACACACGACAAAGAGATAAATAGAAAACAGCTGGGCCTGGGGGACCACTACCATCAAGACTCGGAGACCGGTAGTGGCCCCGAACGGCTGGGCACGCTGATATTTATTGCATACAAGACGAGGGGGCAGGGTAAGAAGGGTGACTCTTCTAAGTGATTGACAAGGTGAAGCAAGTCACGTGATCACAGGACAGGGTGCCCTTCCCTCTTAGGTAGCCGAAGCAGAGAGAGAGAATACATCAGCATTTTCTTCTATGCACTTATAAGAAAGATCAGGCTGGGAGCGGTGGCTCACGCCTATAATCCCATCACTTTGGGAGGCCGAGGCGGGTGGATCACAAGGTCAGGAGATCGAGACCATCCTGGCTAACACGGTGAAACTCCGTC